TACCGCGAACAAAATACTGTGATGATCTGATATTATCAACTAAATCTAACTGTAACAAAATAAACTAAGAGTAACCTTAACTTTACTCTCCTTACCTTTAAAGTTGTAGGTGAACTTTACTGTAGGCCAACTTGAGAAGTTTTCTTTTCCTTTTATTCTTTAAGCGAGTGGTGATATCTCCTAGTCATAAACATACAATAAGCTGTGTTTTATTTAGAAAACTAAACACTAACCCATTTATATGCTAATTAAATTGGTATTTAACGTTATTTTTATGGTTTGTACATCGGTTCTTTTGTTATCGTTGTTATTGATGTTAAAGAATTATTTTAGAAATAGAAAACTATTAAAAAGTCTATTACATTTTGTGTTTTATTACATTTCAGGTTTTCAACTCAAGTGTTATAACTTTAAAATTGTTACACTTAACTTTCACTGTTACTCCTACATTTTCATTTGTATCAAAAATCAACATTTCTTATAACTGATGTTTAACGTTATTTTTTCATTAGTAGTTTATTACATTTTGAGTTTTAATACATTTCAGGTTGTCAACTCAATTGTAATAACTTTTTTGCAGGTCAACCGGTTTTGTAATAACTTTTCTATACACCAAGCAAGCAAATTTTCTTTATTGCTATTATATCGTAAGTAAAGATGATCTTCAAAATATATATTATTTGGTGGTTGTACAGAATAGAAAATGAAAATGCCACGTATCAGATAGTTTGTTACATTTCACGATGTCATAACGCTTCAGATTGTTTATTTAAGGTACTATATGGACAATTTTTCTGGAATTGTATTAAGATTATATTGTTACATTTGAATGAACGTCATCCTTCCTTTATTTATTCATATTATCAATAAATTAACATAACTGTGACCTTAAAAATAAATTTCTCAATGGTATCGAAGGAATAAAATGTATGTCAAGTACTTTAAAGAATGCAGGTTGTCATCAACTTTATGATACCATTTCTGCTCTTCAAATTTGAAATGTATTTTCTTTAAAATTAGTTTTAATTCGCTTCCATGTTAAGTTTTATAAAAATTCCGATGTCCAAATTCCAAGTCCAATTTTTTTTTAAACACCATGTATGTGAAAGAGACTTTTCTTGCCACATTTTCTTAAGTTTTGACCGTTTATTACATTTTCGGATTTTATTACAATTCAGGTTGACTACCTAAATGTAATAATATTTTTGCATCTTAACCAGTTTTGTAATAACTTGATTACAATTCCGGTTTTATTACAATTCAGGTTGTAACAATGCCCTCACAAAACTTAGACTTTATCTCATAGAAAAAGGGAGACATAGAAATATTAGTAGGGATGAGAGAAAATGTTTAATGTGTTCAAGAAATGACTTAGAAGATGAATATCATTTTGTGCTTGTACGAGTATGTGACGCTTATAAAAGTTTAAGGAAAAAATATTTATCAGAAATATATACAAAATTAAAAGACCGAGTATAAGTTTGCTAAAAACCGAGAATAAATACATTATGCATATACTTTCCATTTTTATTGTGAAGGCTTTTCAATTAGGGGATTCTAACACAAATACTCAAAATTTAATATCATTATACAGATGTGTACTCTCTCATGTGCAACAAATTAAAAAATACATTTATATCTAACCATAATGATGTATATAATTCAATCCATGGTTTTTGTATGCTTCTTATTTATTTGTAATTATTGTATATGTATGTACTTAATGGTTGATGATGATAAGCTGTAATGCTTAAATCTAAAAAAGAAATATGTTCTGTTCTGTTCTGTATAATCAAGCGCGCCTCAAAATTTATTTTAAGTGTTGTAGGATTTTAATTTATTTTCGATTAATTGTTGTAATGTTACAAATTACTTTCGATCAGTCGTCGTAGTCTCAGTGTCGATGAACTGACGTATTCGACCAATATTCGACAAACTGACGTATTCGACTAATATTCGACAAACTGTCGTATTCGACCAATATTCGACAAACTGACGTATTCGACCAATATTCGACAAACTGACGTATTCGACCAATATTCGACAAACTGACGTATTCGACCAATATTCGACAAACTGACGTATTCGACTAATATTCGACAAACTGTCGTATTCGACGAGATATCTTTCAACGAAATGACGTGCACCGTCCTGGAGTACAGTCTAGCTCATTCTAACATTAAATTATCTAATAATTTTGAAAGAATTTGAGTTTGAAATAACAACATGTTAATAATCAGATGAATTTAAGATACAAATGCACATACCTAAATTAGTTTTTTTCACAGTGTAAGTATTATTGCATTTCTTAATTTTCAAAGAATCTTTTTTTTATAGATTCTCTAAAAACACAAAAAAATATAAACATATTAACCAATTGATACATTAAATTTTAAATGTAAACGGAAGTTAGTGCTTTTTCATAATGTGCATTATTTAGATTACGAGAACATGACAAAAATTACGAAAAGGCGCATGAAAATACCGGCATACGTTCTAGGTCTAATTGATAGTACCATTTCTCTTTAAGATTTTTGAAAGTAATGGACTACTTTACACTACTTTAATGTATTTGAGAATTTGACTTCTGAAAATGGAGACAACAAAATACCTTTAAATTAAACACATCACATTTTTAATGATATGACAAATTATCATTATACTAAATGTGTGTTTTTACCAGAGCAAATCAGGGCTCAAATTCAGTTTCTTTTTGTTCTAATTTGATATATTTGAATTATATATACATGTATATGTTAAGAGCATAGCATAGCCTTCACTGTACATCAACACTTCAGGCATTCAATCAAAACTTTAGTAAGAAAAACTTACACTTGACACACGTTTATCTTTTTGTATATTATAGTCAACTCCATGGCTCTGTACTAAACACTATACAGTGTATGTACTGGGTAAACTAATTCTGACGGAAGGAAATCCTTCAAGAGCAATGTTAACAAAACAATTAAATGGAAATTGCAGACTCGGAATGGCCTTACAAATAGCAATGTATTCTTACAACGTGTAAAAGCAACAGTCTGTCCAGGAACGATGCGGTAGCTGAGCTGTGCTCAGATAAATTCAATGTGGCTTATTGCCGTGATCCGGAGGGTGAACAACCACCACCACAACATGAAGACCAGCATACTAGTATATATGATACATTTAATAACCAAAATATATATATTGTGTGACAATGCGCCGAAATAAAGCGGCGGGGATAGATAATCTTTTAAACGAATATTTTATAGAAGCAAGTGATATTTTGTCTGGACATATAACAGAGCTATTTAACAATATTTTAGAATCTGGCATTTTTCCCGAAATCTGGACAAGAGGTTGTATAATACTATTACATAAAAGGGAAATAAAGAAAATGTACAAAATTACAGAGGAATAACTTTATTAAGTCATCTTGGTTAATTGTTTACTAGTATTTTAAATCAAAGAATAACTAAATGGTGTGATGAAAATAATATTATCTCTGATGCTCAGTTTGGTTTTAAAAAAAGGTAGTTCGACTACAGAAGCTGTTTTTATATTGCATTCTATAATTGAAAAATATTTGAATCAGAATAAAAGATTGTATTGTGCTTTTATTGATTTAAAACGCTGTTTTGATTCCATATACCATGTACGAGTATACAGGAGATGCACTTTGGTTTAAGATGTATTATGCTGGTTTGAATGGTAAATTATTAAGAATAATAAGAAGTATGTATAGCTCTGTTAAATCTTGTGTTAAGTCCTGTGGTAACTATTCTGATGTTTTTGATATTTCGATTGGATTATGTCAAGGGGAGATAATTTCCCCAATTATGTTTTCCTTGTTTATTGAAGATCTAGAACTTTATTTGCAAAATAACTTAAATTCTGGTATAGATCTTCAAGATATTTGCCTAATTTTACTTTTGTTTGCTGATGATATGGTATTAATTGATGAAAATCCTCTAGATCTCCAAAATTCATTAAATAAGCTTCATGAATACTGTAATAAATGGGGATTAGAAGTTAATGTAAACAAAACTAAAATCGTAGTTTTTCGTAAGAGAGGTTTAAGAGCAGGAGAAAAACTGGTTACATGGTCAAGATAATATAGAAATTGCAAATGATTTTAATTATCTAGGTGTCACATTGAATTATACAGGAAATTTTAACTTAAATACTCAAACTTTATATGGTAAAAGTTGAAAAGCCCTAAATAATTTAGTGGCAAATTTGAAAAAATATGAAACAAAACCAAAAATAGCCCTACAGTTGTTCGACTCTTTTATTAGTTCTATTTAAATGTATGCAAGTGAAGTATGGGGTTTTTACAAATCAAAAAAGTTAGAAAATATTCATTTGAAATTTTGTAAAACTATTCTTGGTGTTAGAAAATCTACTAGTAACGTAGCTGTGTATGGTGAACTTGGAAGATATCCGTTGTATGTAAACAGATATGTCCGAATTGTAAAATTTTGATTTAAGATAATAAGTTCAAGTAACATTATTATTTATACAATTGTTAATTCATCTATGTCTGATATAAATATAGGGTATACAAACCGGTTTGCAAATGTACAAAGTCTTTTAGAAAAATACGTTGATGTATGAAATGAAGAAACAATAATTATGCTTTGTCAATATATTAATGAAGCTTTCAAATTACGATACCAGATTATTAATGCTTAGATATGTATTTCAACCTACTTTTATGTATACCTAACAGGTCCAATCTAATGAAAAGTTTTAATGTGTATAGACTACTGTGTATGCAATAGCCATAATGCTTTAATATTTGTGTCATCTCTATTTTGTTTCGTCCATCCAATATATTATGTTTACTTTCATGTCATTGTATTTTTCATGTCATTATATATGTATGCTTGTATATATGTTAATCACGAGAAACTTGTAGTTTAAGCGAAATAAACGTTCTTCATAACTAACTTTGTTGTTCGTAGTGTTGCTAATAGACCGTTATCGATAAAACAGATTGTCAATATTCATTAAGAATCTCGTGTTTTCTACGCTGTTCTGTGCTATATGCCTCAAGTAGAACAGTAACAACCTGTAGCTCGCTACAGCAATTGACTAGACAAAAAGGAAAATATAAAACGTAAAATCAGGATTTATATGTCTGATTTAAATATGGAAAGCAGAAGAAGACTGTAAGTTTAAAACTGTATTATCATTCAGTACAACATTATAAAGTGTTATTTATTCAGAATGTTAGTTTTTTAATAATCTAATAATCATTTTAACTTATAAACATATAACATGATATCAGTATGAAGGTTGATTGAAAAGTGAACAATATGTGGGTTGAAGTAATGTTTAGATGTGTGAAAATGTTTTTACTATGTCATATGTACAATAGAGATACAATTCTTTTACAAATTATAAAATCATTTCAATATAACATTATTTTTGTTATTTTCAGATCATTTGTACATATCTGATTTTATTGCCGCCATACTTAATTTTGTGACGACGTGCATTTACTTATTATGTTGAAATTTGCTGGCATAATATACATGACAAATAGGTCTACTTTATTTTCATGTGAGTTCACAGGTTTTTGCATTTCCATTGAGAAAAGGTACCAAATTATTCTTGTTTAAGATGGAGAATGAATAACATAAGGTGTCACATTATGCAACAAGAAATGTTGGTTAAGAAAATTTAATAAAGGTTTTATATTTCTATCATAAAGCAATTTAACATATATTTCAGTCCATAATTACAAAAGTACCTTACTAGAGACTTCTAATATATCGCCCAAAACGACAAAACTGAAAAGACAAGAAAATCTGTATATATAAAACTGATTCACAATTATTGTTTAAATTTTCAGATTAAAGGTTCGATTTTACCATTTCATTTACCGGAGAAAAACAAAATATGGCAAAGGTAATTAAACTTTTTATATCTTAGAATTTGCCGGTATAATTTATAATATATGATAATATATGTGTTAACAACAAAATATTTAAAGACATTAGTGCTATGTTAGATAAACTTACACCGGAATAAAAATATTTTTTACCCGACTAATTCGGGGGTACAAACAAACTTTTACAGTTAAAGCTTCGGAAATAAACCGAAAGGTTGGCCTATCTATTGGGAACGGTAGTGCACCGTGAAGTTAAAACGGTAAAAAATTGTTTGTACCGGGGGATTATCTTTGAGAAAAAACAACATTTGCCAAGTTCCGGATTACATCTATTATGCACATGTTTTTATGTTTTGTGATAAATGTGTGTTTTTTCTATAGTATTTACTGCTATTTGAGAGTAATTCAAATTTAAAAGGATTGAGGCCCCAGGTAAAAATCGTTTAATGCCCCATGATTCAGGGGCCTATTGTTTTTGTCTGTCTGTCTGTTAAGTCATGTTTAAAGTTCGGGCGTGGCAAGAACCAAAGCATGTCCGGGGAGTCAAACTTGGCATGGACGAAAAATTATGCATGACTATATTGTGGAAGATGTAGACAGTGGCTAAGAAACACACTTAAAATCTCCTACATACGACATACACAGAAGTAACTGTTGTGTTTAGTTTTCTACTATATAAAAATGTACATGTTTTAATTTGACCAAACCATTTTTAGCTCACCTGTCACAAAGTGACAGGGTGAGCTTTTGTGATCGCTTTTCGTCCGGCGTCCGTCCGTCCGTCGTCCGTCCGGCGTCCGTAAACTTTTACTTTAAATGACATCTCCTCATAAACCACTAAGCCAATTTCATCCAAACTTCACAGGAATGTTCCTTTGGTGGTCACCTTTGAAAATTGTTCAAAGAATTTAATTCAATGCAGAACTCTGGTTGCCATGGCAACCAAAAGAAAAAACTTAAAATATCTTCTTCTAAAAAACCCAAAGAGCTAGAGCTTAGATTTTTTGCATGAAACATCTTCTGGTGAGTGTCTACCAAGTTTGTTCAAATAAAAGCCCTTGGGTCAAAATTGGCTCCGCCCCAGGGGGTCATTGATTTTCCCTATATGCATATTGTAAAAACTTAAAAAATCTTCTTTTTAAGAACCAAAAGAGCTAGAGCTAAGATATTTAGCATGAAACATCTTCTAATGAGTGTCTACCAAGTTTGTTCAAATAAAAGCCCTGGGGTCAAAATTGGCCCCGCCCCAGGGGGTCATTGATTTTCCCTATATGCATATATAGTAAAAACTTAAAAAAATCTTCTTTTAAAGAACCAAAAGAGCTAGAGCTAAGATATTAAGAATGGAACATCTTCTAATGGATGTCTACCAAGATTGTTCAAATAAAAGCCCTAGGGTCAAAGTTGGCCCCACCCCAGGGGGTCATTGATTTTCCATTTATACATATAGTAAAAACTTAAAAAATCTTCTTTTAAAGAATCCAAAGAGCTAGAGCTAAGATATTTAGCATGAAACATCTTCTAATGGGTGTCTACCAAGTTTGTTCAAATAAAAGCCCTGGGGTCAAAATTTGCCCGGCCCTGGGGGTCATTGATTTTTCAAATTTCCTTATATGTGTATAGGAAAAACTTAAAAAATCTTCTTTGAAAAAACCAAATAGCTAGAGTTTAGATATTAAGCATGAAACATCTTCTAGTGATTGTCTACAAAGTTTGTTCAAATAAAAGCCCTGGGGTTTAAATTGGCCCCACTCCGGAGGTCATTCATTTTCCCTTTATGTGTAAAACTATAGCAAAAATTGAAAAAAATCTTCTTTGAAAAAACTCAAATAGCAAGAGTTTAGATATTAAGCACAAAGCATCTTCTAGTGAGTGTCTTCAAAGTTTGTTCAAATAAAAGCCCTGGAGTCAAAATTGGCCCCGCCCCGGGGGACATTGATTTTCCTTTTACGAGTATAGCAAAAACTTAAAAATCTTCTTTTAAAAAACCAAATAGCTAGAGTTTAGATATTAAGCATGAAACATTTTCTAGTAAGTGTCTACAAAGATTGTTCAAATAAAAGCCATGGGGTCAAAACTGGCCCTGCCCCAGGTGTGTCATTGTTTTTTACTATATGGGTAAAGAAAAAACTTTAAAAAATCTTCTTTTAAAAATCCCAACGAGTTAGACCTTTGATGTTTAGCATAAAACATCTTCTAATGGTTGTCTACAAAGTTTGTTCAAATAAAAGCCCCGGGCTTTAAACTGGCCCTGCTCCGGGGTCCTATGTACAGGTGAGCGACTTCAGGGCCATCATGGCCCTCTTGTTTGTGATTTCCATTGTACATGACACACCATAAACCTTTCTGTTGATAAAATAGATATAAACTTTTGGTTAAACCATATGTCGGGGCCTTGCTCTTTATTGGTATAAGGGATTACTCGGTTAACAGTTCGTTTCCGCCCATTTACAGTTGTAAGTCATGATGTATAGAACCACAATGATGTCTTTAAATTCAGTGAAATGATTACAATTTATGACCTATACTGTGTCAATGTGACGTAAAACCCAATTAAAACAAAAAAAAAAACAAACAAAGAAAAACAACAATATATGATAATATGTATAATACTTTACATGTATGTGCTGCTATAAAATATGTTTTAACTTTCAAAATAATAATTTCATAATAATTTCATTCTGTATTCTAAATGTGTTTTTACATGTATATGTAAAGTTATAATGTAAAAGAGAACTGTGTATCTAAAATGTTTTACTTTAACTTTAATTAAGGTTAATATAGAAAATAATACTTGTTTCAGTATCGTACGATGGAGGCAACTCGGAACATGCGTTTCCGTGTCCAGGCAACTAATAATGAAACCTTTGTGGCAATTTTAGACACACATGAAACGGAATATGACAATGACGGAGCTGTTTATTACGTTGTGGTAGTTGTACTTATATATGGATTGTCTATCGTTATGATGATTGCTTCACATATCAGGAGAAACAACCAAGATGGACAGTTGAGATCCTACTTGAAAGAAATGGCAATTCTTAGGAAGAAGAATAGGCGTGAAAAGTTACTGGAGAAAATGACGGATCTAGCACATAAATCGGGCCCGTTTCAGGGCCAGAAGCAAGAGGAAACGTCCTTTCATAACTTTAAAAGAGACAATGCAGCCTTATATGGACGTCTACCAACGGAAGTTGATGACGAATCACATGATCTGTTGTTGTCAAAAACAAGTACAAGTGATTATGAAGACTCCGTTTTCAGCACAGAAACATCAAAGTTGGAATCACCAGCCACACCAAAGATATCGCCATCTAGTATGTTAACACCCAAACTTGTTCGTACAGACGGAAAACCTTTCATTCCGATACAAGTGATAAATGAAAACACAGTTTTGTAATTTTCAGATATATTTTCCGAAAGGAATTTCACCACCTTCAATATACTGACTTTAAAGCAGCATGTCTCTGGATTCATGCTTATATTCATAAAAAAAAATGAAAATAAATTTCAAAGTAAATATTGTGAAGTGAATATAGAAAGAAATTTACACATTACAAATAAAAAACAACAATATTACAAATGGCACTTAAAACCCACGTAAATTACCAAAATTATCAAAATATGCAAAAATTCACGTTTTTAACGCAGTAGAAATATAATAATTAATACTGCAAAGCCAGTCATTAATCGCATATTGCATGTAAATTATTAACTGAATCTTAAATACTTACACTTTTCTTAAAATCTTAGTACATTTTTCTCAATTTTGATTTTCTCGAATATATACGAGGGTTGTTCAAAAAGTAATAGGACTGAGAGTCTTGCATCTTCATATTCAATTCAATTTAGAATAGTTTCATATGTACAGCGATCGAAAAATGTTTTCTTCAATTTAAACATAAAAATATTGAATTCTTATGCTTCACGCGTGTTCCCTGTGTTATTGAATAACCATGGTAACACGCACCCGGCGCAGCACATAGAAAGGTTATCGAAGCTTAGTTGAACTTTTATTTTATTTATAATTTATTTTCTTTTTCCCCCATTTATACCACCAACACAATTTATTATATTTAAGTGACATTATGCCCAAATTTGTCGTCATTCAGACATGAAATTGCTAAGTCATTAAGTTTTGAACAGCAGTGGTCAATACGTTAAATGTAGAAATTTGACGTTCGTTAAAAAACTGAAAATGTGTGCGATCGTTAAACTTTGCCAACAAATAGGCGATACTCCTTCAGATACATATGAAAACATAACATTTACACAGTACAATTAATCGGCTATCAGGATACTCGTTCTCAGCTTGCGCAAACAACTCAAAAACTGCACGAAACGAAATCATAAACAGGAAAGGATGAGAATTATAACGGGAAATTGACGGGACGTTAGTGACGTCAAATGAAAAAGCGCTACAAAATGATCGACGGTAAACAGTCCATGAACTGTCCGGCATGTTTGATTTCTGCATCGGGTCTGCATCATTCAGTTCTGCCTAAATGATTTGTTTCAAACAAAATTCTATTTCATTTAACTAGATATATGTGTTATCAATAAATTAATATCATAATGATTAACGGTAATTATTAATATTTTCACCAATTTTCTTTTAAAAATGATACGCTGTTTTTAGTAGGAAAATATACTTTTCAGTTGATAACTATTGTTATTTTACTTACATAATCATATTGTTTTAAGAACGTACGATGATATGTGTAAAATAATTCTATTAATCGCTTTTTCATTAACATCATAAGTTAATGCCTGTTTAATCTTTATTGATTACTATAAGATACAAGAATAAGAGAATAAGCGGAGAGTGGCCGGCTATCGGGCTTTTTTTTCTCGGAGAGTGGAACAAGAATGTGATCGTTTTTTTTTTT